ATTTTTTGGTTGCAGCCATCATTGTTGTTTGGCGGGCCCGCGGGCTGGATTTGAACCCGCCACCTTAGGTGTATGTGGCTGGCGCCTTAGCCACTTGAGCCACAGGTGCCAAGCCAATGAGTGCTTTTAAAAGAAGATTTAAGTTGACTGTTTTTATTCCAATAAACGGGCTTTCTAAATTAACTAGTATTTAAACCTGGAACAAGCTTTTCTCTGCATTTGAGAGTTAGAAAATAAAGCCTTATTAACCTAAACTGAATTTATGAAGGGGTTTGTTTCTCTTTAGTCAGAGTATCAGTAGTTATTGTTGGGCAGAAGGCATTTTTAAAAGAATTGCATATATTAGTAGGGCTCCTGTGACATCTGGAGAGTTGGGGCTTTCATTGTTGATCTTGCCTTGATGGGAAAGCCAACCTTCATTCAAAGGAGTAAGGCAGGAAGACTTTTCTGATTCTCTTACTCAATTTTTAAGGCAAATCTAGTTGCATTTTATGAATTTGGAAGCGTTTTAGAAGCCCTGCAATAGGAACATGTTATACTACTCCCCCTGAGAATTACTGACTGTATTTTAAAATACCCATTGGCATTGAGTTATAGCCCTTCCACCCTCTCATTGCTGTGTAATTTGGCCTCAAGGCTTGAACACTAGAGTAACTCAGTTCCATCATATTGGCTGTTCTGTCTTGACAGTGCATGTTTCCTCATTACTGAACTGTGATGTATTTTCTGGACCTTTTAGGAGTCTGATTAAGTGGTTCATGCTGGATTGCATCTCTGTTTTTCTGTTATTGTTGTTCCCCCTAAAGAACTGATTTTTAAATAAAATATATTACATTTAACAAAGAGGTAGTATATGTTTCTAATGATCTGTTTAGTGAAATTTACATAAATGTGATTGATTGTAGCCTTTGGGTGGAAATATTCCTTAGTTGTTTCTGTAGGTATACCTAATTTAGTATTTCTAATCCAGTTTTTTTTTTTTACTCCTTGGTCTAGATTGATGAACAAATTGAGAGCATGTTTAATTCAAAGAAGAGAGTAAAGGATATGGCTGCTCCTGGAACATCAAGTGTCCCTGCTCCAACTGCAGGAAATGCTGAGAAATTAGAAATTGCTAAGAGATTGGCTCTTAGAATCAATGCTCAGAAGAATTTAGGCATCGAGTCTCAGGTATTAAGTAATTTGTTCCAAGTCTTAGTCAGTATTTTTTTTTTCCTTTTTTGAGATAGTTTTCACTTTGATACCCAAGCTGGAGTACAGTGGCATTGTCATAGCTCACTGCAGCCCCAAACTCCTGAGCTGAAGCAACTCCCTGCCTCAGCCTTCTGAGTAGTTAAGACTATAGGCATATACACCACTGTGCTTGGCTAATTTTTTTCTTTTTTAATTTTGTAGGGGCAAGGTCTCATGTGTTGTCCAGGCTGGTCTTAACATGTGACTTCAAATGATCCTCTTGCCTTTGTACCTCAGCCTCCTAAAGTGCTGGGATTAACAGGCATGAGCCACCACAGCTGGTCAATACTTTTTAGAAGTTCTTTGATTTTTAAATACTTTCTAGCAATCATGTTGAGTATGAGAGAACAACCAAATTGTCTTTGACAGTAAATTTGTTGGAATTTAACATTCTCTATGGATAATTGGATTTGTATGATCTCTTTAGTGTGCTTAACTAAGGACTTTATACCTATTTTGGAACATCTATTAGGCTGGTTAGTCATAGTTTTATTTTATTAAAAAAAAAGTTGTGTGTGTGAGAGAGACAGACAGATAGGTGGAATGTAGTGGCAAAGTTATAGTTCATTACAGCCTTGAACATTTTGGGCTCAGGTGATCCTCCTGCTTCAGCCTCTCAAGTAGCTAGGACTACAGGCACACACCACCACATCTAGGTAATTAAAATAATTGGGGGAGGGGGCCCTTGAACTGGCCTCAAGCAGTCCTCCTGTCTAGACCTCTCAAAATGCTGAGATTATAGGCATGAGCCACTGTGCCAGACTGATAATTTTATAGAATAGTATTCTGATTTATCTTACCCAATCTTTTTTTTGTTTTTTTTTTTTTTTGAGACAGAGCCTCAAGCTGTCCCCCTGGGTAGAGTGCCGTGGCATTACAGCTCACAGCAACCTCCAACTCCTGGGCTCAAGCGAGTCTCCTGCCTCCACCTCCCAAGTAGCTGGGACTACAGGCGCCCGCCACAACGCCTGGCCATTTTTTGGTTGCAGCCGTCATTGTTGTTTGGCGGGTCTGGGCTGGGGATTCGAACCCGTCACCCTAGGTGTACGTGGCTGGCGCCTTAGCCGGTTGAGCTATAGGCGCCGAGCCTATCTTACCCAATCTTAAGGAAGTATTTCTCTTTTTCTTTCTTTCTTTTTTTTTTTTGAGCCAGAGTCTTGCTTTCATCACTCGTGCCCTGGTGTCATACCTCATAGCAACCTCAAACTCTTAGGCTCAAGTCATTCTCTTGCCTCAGCCTCCCAAGTAGGTGGGACTATAGGTGCCCCCCACAATACCCAGCTATTTTTTTAAAGATGGGGTCTTGCTGTGGCTCAGGCTGATCTTGAACCTGTGATTTCAGGCAGTCCACCTGCCTTGGCCTCCCAGAGTGCAAAGATTACAGGTGTGAGCCACTGCACCCATCATTGTGTTTTTCTTTCTTGATCTACTTTTATTGGATAGGTTATTGGGAGCATAATTCTCTGTATATACGAACTCCAGTTATGTGACCATCTTATCGAACTAACATGGGCTTAAACAATGGAGAAATGGCTGTTTTTAAATATTTCACATGGCATCTTTTTCTTGGAAGATTTTGTGTCAATTTCTAAGGATAAATTTTCATAGCATTCTCCAAGAATGGTTTGTTAATTTCAGTAGTAATTTGAAGATTTTGAGTAAGTCATTTAGTCTAATTTATTGAATGTTGAGTTGGGTCATAAAGGAGGAGGAGCTTAATGATAGTAGTGGTACAAAGATTCAGAAACTCCTAGGCGCCAGACAGTATGTAAGTGATTTTGGATATGTTTACTATATCCAGTGTTGAGAGTTAGCTAATTATCAGGTGTTTATCTGTGAGCTAGTAGAATGCAGTACCACCTCCATAGTTGACTGCCTCCATACATTGACCACCACCTTAAGTTGATCTAATTTTCATAGATGGGACATAGACCACATCTATGTTTCGGTACACTAGGCCTAGTTGACCACCATCATATGTTGACCAGTTTGTTATAGTCCCTTGGATGCTAAACTTAAAAAGGTTCTACTGTACATTCCTCCATTTTCTTAACGTTGAGCTACATTAAGGTATTAATTTTTAATATATATTGTTAAATTATACATATAGGTGGGCCTGTACATAAGAAAGATGTTTATTCATTTATTTATTAAAGTTTAATACAGAGGCTTTTTAGACAATAGTTTGTGGTAGGGTCCCTGTACCTATCTCTACCCTCGTTTGAGCTTTGACTGTAGGTCTTCTTTAACTGCAGGATGTAATGCAACAGGCCACCAATGCAATTCTCAGAGGTGGCACCATTCTGGCTCCCACCGTGTCTGCGAAGACCATTGCAGAACAACTTGCTGAGAAGATCAATGCCAAGCTCAATTATGTGCCTTTAGAGAAACAAGAAGAAGAGAGGCAGGATGGTGGGCAGAATGAATCATTTAAGAGATACGAGGAAGAATTAGAGATCAATGATTTCCCACAGGCAAGTAACTTTTTTTTTTTTTTTAACGAGAAAACTAACTTCATCATATTTCTTCCCACTTAAATTTCCTGGCTAAATATCTTCACTGAAGTAACATATTTAAACTTTTTTTTATCATGAAATGGTAACTCTTACTCCTTTAAGAGCAACATCTAATCCCCTTTTTTTTTTTGAGACAAAGTCTCACTTTGCTGCCTTCAGTAGAGTGCCATGGCATCACAGCTCTCAGCAACCTCCAACTCTTGGGCTTAAGTGATTATCTTGCCTCAGCCTCCCAAGTAGCTGGGACTACAGATGCCTGCCACAATGCCTGACTATTTTTTTTGTTGCAGTTGTCACTGTTTAGCAGGCCCCCAGCGGGTTTAGACCTGCCTGCCTCGGTGTATGTGGCCAGTGCCCTAACCACTGAACTACAGGTTCTGGGTCATAACATCTAATCTTTAAAACACATGAGCATTGTAATAGTTAACTTTTTACCTAAGTAATAGGCAATAGGACAACAGAAATTTGGTTTTAACGAGTAACTTCAAGGTATGTTAGGATCTAAGTGAACTTACCATGTAGGTATGTGTTAATAATAGGTGTTATATTACCCATAGTATATTAGCCATACTGCTGTTTGTCAACACACCAGGGTTTTTATCCTGTTATGATGTGATTTTTTTCCCCCTACCCTCTTTTAGACTGCTAGGTGGAAAGTTACTTCTAAGGAAGCTCTGCAGAGAATCAGTGAATACTCTGAAGCGGCAATTACAATCAGAGGAACATACTTCCCTCCTGGCAAAGAACCTAAGGAAGGAGAGCGGAAAATTTATTTGGCAATTGAAAGTATGTATTGTCAGTTCTGTTTCAGGCTTGAGTTTGATCAAAATTGATGTAGATATAATAGATAAAGAGAGAATGGGAGAACAATCCTCAAGAGGACTCAAAGTAAGAAACATTTATGAGAAAAAAAGAGTTTCATATATCATTTGAAGTCTTTATGTAGAAGTTCAGTAGGTGTGCAAAGGTGAATGATCTATTTACAGGATTTTTCAGTTTTGATAATTGAATCAAATTAAAAGTCACTTTTAAAAGCATATGTTTAAGGATTGACCCATTCATGCTTGTAGTAAGTAGAATATTCTGACTTCAGTTTAGGTCCATAATGTACCATTATACCTGTGTTGGTGTACTTGACACTGTCCTCTAAATCTTTCAGGCTCTATTCATTTTTTTACATTCTTTTTTTTGTTTGTTTTTTCCTGCCCTCTTCAAGTTTGATCCCAATTGACCTGTCCGCAAGATCAGTGATTCTTCTTTTTTTTTTCCCTTTTCCTTTTTTGAGATGGAGTCTTGCTATGTTGCCCAGGATGGTCTTGAACTCCTTGTCGTAAGCAATCTTCCTGTCTGAGCCTTCTGAGTAGCTGGGATTATAGCATGAGCCTTCACACTTGGCTAAATTCAGTGATTCTTCTGCCTGTTCAAATATTCTGTTAACCCCACCCTCTAATGAATTTTTCATTTCACTTATTTTACTTTTCAGCTCCAGAATTTATATTTGGTTTCTGTATTTCTGGCTTGTTATCTATATATTCTGTAGTTAAACAGTCATCATTTCCCTGGTTTCCTTTAGTTCATAGCAGCCTCAAACTCTTGGGCTCAAGCTATCGTTCAGCCTCAGCTTCCCAAGTACCTGAGACTACAGGCACCTACCACAAGGCTGGCTAATGTTTCTGTTTTTAGTAGAGATGAGGTCTTACTTTTGTTCAGGCTATTCTCGAATTCCAGAGCTCAAGGAATCCTTCACATTGGGTTCCCAGAATGGTAAGATTATAGGTGTGAGCCATTTGTGCCTGGCTTATTTATTTATTTATTTTTGAGGCAGTCTCACTGTCACCCTTGGTAGAGTGATGTGGCATCACAGCTCAGTAGCATTCTCTTGCCTCAGCCTCCCGAGTAGGTGGGACTACAGGCGCCCACCACAACGCCTGGCTATTTTTCTGTTGGCGCTTGGTTGGGGCCGGGTTTGAACCCTCCACCCTCAGTATATGAGGCCTGCGCTCTACCCACTGAGCTACTGGCGTTGCCCCCAGCTATTTTTTGTTATTGTTGCAGTTGTCTTGTTGTTTTCACTGACCCGGGCTGGGTTTGAACCTGTCAGCCTCGGTGTATGTGGCCAGTGCCCTACCCACTGAGCTACAGGCACCGCCCTATATAATCTATTCTTTTTTGTGTGTGGCTGCTATAGTCAGATAGTGATTTTTTTTTTTAATTTCAAAATACTAAGGGAATACAAATGTTTTTGTTATATGGTACCTTTATATAATGCTTAAGCCAGGGCTAAAATAGTGATTTGACAGTGGTTTCCGTAAGTCCCTAGGGAGGAAAAATAGCTATTCCTTCTCAGTGTGTTCTCTGTGTGTATTGGGAGAAACCTTCAGTTCTCAGCCAGGCATACAGTTCTGTCTTAACTCTCTTTTTTATGTTTACATAGAGTCTGAAGGTCAGCCAGAGAGGGTGAGAGCTTATCGGCCTTCTCAGGTCTTTTCTGATCATGTGCCCAGCCTTGGGCAGGCACATGACCTAGATTCCCATGAATATGTGAGAACTTTACAAAGCCCTTGTTCCCTAAAGCATTTTATTCCCTAGTTTTTCTTTCCAAGCTTTTTGTCTTTTGCCCTAGTTGTTACCCCTTGTCCTAGGGTTTGTGTGTAGTATATTTGCATTTTGGTAAATGTCTCCTGCACCTCCCCAGTAGCTAAGTTAGTTGAAATAAAGGCAAACCCTTTGAGATAGTTTTTTAGGTAGCTACCAGAAAAGTCAAGACAAAGACTGACATTTTTTGAGATCAAGCTGGTGGGCCCTCTTTCCTTTCCTCTCTCCCTTTATTTCCTTTCTCCTCCCCCACTCCTTCCCTCTTCCTTTACTTCTTTTCTTTCTTATAGGTTCTTTCTCTGTGCTGGGCTAGTGTGCAGTGGCATCATCATAGCTTCTGGGTGCGATCCTCCTTTGTTAGCCTCCTGGGTAGTTGGGCCTATAGGTTGTGTGCCAGCACTCGTAGCTATTTTTCTGTTCTTAATACAGAGAAGGTCTCATTTTTGCTCTAGCTGATTTCTTTCTCCCTTCCCTCCCCTCCCCTCTTCCCTTTCTCCTTCCCCTTTCCTTTCCCTCTCTGTTGCCCTGGGGTACAGTGCCGAGTTGTCATATCTCACAGCAACCTCAAACTTTCCCTATACAGTAATCCTCTTGCCTCAGCCTCCAGAGTAGCTGAGACTACAGGTGCCTGCCACAATGCTGGGCTAGTTTTCTGTCATTTTATTTATTTATTTATTTATTTATTTTTAGTAGAGATGGGATCTTGCTCTTGCTCAGCTTAATCTCAAACTCCTGACCTCAAGCAATGTGTCTCATCCTCCCTAAGTGCCAGGATTAAAGTCATGAGCCACCATGCTCAGCCTGTTTTTTAAATTTTTCTTGAGTGTTTTCCTGATTTCTGTAAAGTGTTTTGTTTTTGTTTTTGTTTTTGTTTTTGAGGCAGAGCCTCAAGCTGTCTCCCTAGGGAGAGTGCAGTAGCATCACAGCGCACAGCAACCTCAAACTCCTGGGCTCAAATGATTCTCCTGTCTCTGCTTCCCAAGTAGTTGGGACTACAGGCACCCACCACAACCCCTGGCTGTTTTTTTGGTTGTAGTTGTCATTGTTGTTTGACAGGCCCAGGCTGGATTTGAACCCACTAGCTCAGGTGTATGCGGCTGGCACCTTAGCTGTTTGAGCCACAGGCACTGAGCATGTAAAGTTTTGATTTGTTGACAAAGTTCAAATAAGGTTGAATTTGGCAGGTTTTGGAAATATTACCCCTTCTGTGGAGGATGACAGGCTTTTGTAGTACTGTGGTCTGCCATTTTTGCTGATATCACTCTCACTTTTTGAGACTTTGGGAATTAATGATAAATTATAGCAAAGGTAAACCTTAAATGTAGCCTTTATGTTTGCCATGTTTTTGCCACTCTACCATTGCAGTAATTTTCTTAATATTTTTAAGTGGTGTACAAAAGGTCCAGGACTATGCACACTGCATTTCTTATTCTTTTTGTGATTCTAAGAAAATGACTTGTATCTATTTCAAGTTAAGTTTTGTTTTTGTTTTTGGTTTTTGTTTTTTTGGAGATAGTCTCACTGTGTCATCCTTGGTAGAGTGCTATGGTGTCACAGCTCACAGCAACCTCAAACTCTTGGGGTCAAGAGATTCTCTTGCCTCTGCCTCCCAAGTGGCTGGGACTACAGGTCCCTGCCACAACGCCCGCTGTTTTTTGTTACAGTTTTCATTGTTGGTTAGCCAGCCTGGGCAGGGTTTGAACCTGCCAACTTTTGTGTATGTCACAGGCCACAGCCACCTCAAACTCTTGGGGTCAAGAGATTCTCTTGCCTCTGCCTCCCAAGTGGCTGGGACTACAGGTACCTGCCACAACGCCCGCTGTTTTTTGTTACAGTTTTCATTGTTGGTTAGCCAGCCTGGGCAGGGTTTGAACCTGCCAACTTTTGTGTATGTGGCTGGCTCCGTAACCACTGTGCTACATGTACCGAGCCCCCCTCCCCTTTTTTTTTTTGAGAGTGTCACTTGGTCGCCCTCTTTAGAGTCCTATGGCATCATAGCTTACAGCAACCTCAAACTCTTGGGCTCATGCGATTCTCTTGCCTTGGCTTCCTGAGTAACTGGGACTACAGGCTCCCGCCGTAACACTGGCTATTTTTAGAGATGGTCTCACTCTTGCTCAGGCTGGTCTCCAACCTGTGAGCTCAGGCAGTCCACACACCTCGGCCTCCTAGAGTGCTAGGATTACAGGTGTGAGCCACCTCACACAGCCTCAAGTCAGGTTTTTAAATGGTGTCCTGTCATCTATGCTGAAAGACTTTTAGTCTGCCAGTGACTCAGTGTGTTTCTAAATTATGTGACATTGTCTGTCATTATATAGCAAAATGGGGGTTGCTGGCACTTGAGTCTTCAAGCAGCAAAAAATACAGTGACTTTTTTTTTGCACCTGGAACTGGGCAAGTATTTGCTACTGTTTTTATTATGCTTTGCAGGATGGAAATGTAGTGATACATAGAGGAATCTGATAATAAAAATCTTTGGTAGACGTGGAGTCAGACTTTTATGTTCAGGTCACATGTGGTCGCTTATGCCTGTAATCCTAACACTCTGAGAGGCCAACGCGGGTGGATTCCTTGAGCTCAGGAATTGAAGACCAACCTGAGCAAGTCAGACCACATCTCTTCTAAAAGTCGAAAAACTAAGCTGGGCATGATGGTGCATAACTACAGTCTTAGCTACTTGGGAGGCTGAGGCAGGAGGATCACTAGAGCCCAAGAGTTTAAGGTTGCTATGAGCTATGTGTGATAGAGTGAGACTTTGTCTCAAAAAATAAAAACAAAACTTTTTTGTTCTGTTTGAATACTATAGGTGTCATAAGCAAAACAAGTATTGTAAATTTCTGCCTTATTAAGAAGCTGAACCAGAGATATGATTATTTACTTTGAAAAGGTATCTTTGTAGTTATCTCTCTATAGCCTGTTCTACAAAATATCTTTTTGCATGTATCTTTATATAGCCTGTTCTGTGACCCTTTTTTTACTAGTGGAGAATCCCTTAAAAGCAGCCAGAATTGTTTTAGGACCAATGAAAGAATTTAAACTGGTCCAAATGGTCAGACTCTAAAGTAGGAAAAGTATTCTTCTACTTGGATCATTTATTAATTTAAAGATCATTCTTTGGCTCGGCGCCTGTTGCTCAAGTGGCTAAGGCGCCAGCCACATACACCTAAGGTGGCGGGTTCGAATCCAGCCCAGGCCTGCCAAACAACAATGATGGCTGCAACCAAAAAATAGCTGGGCGTTGTGGCGGGTGCCTGTGGTCCCAGCTACTTGGGAGGCTGAGGCAGGAGACTCACTTGAGCCCAGGAGTTGGAGGTTGCTGTAAACTGTGATACCACAGCACTCTACCCAGGGGGACAGCTTGAGGCTCTATCTCAAAATAAATAAATTAATTAATTAATAAAGATCATTCTTTAGTGTGGTGTAATGAACATATCAAAGTTCAGTTTACTCTTAACTGTATCAGAGTGCATCTCAGGTACTGCCATGTGGGCAACATGAGTGAAATACTCGCTGTATACATTCCAGAGCTTATGCTTTTCCTTTCACATAGAATAGTTCTGATTACTTCTCCCCACTGTGAACTTGCCTTGGGTAAATAACATCTAATTTTTGCAAGCCCCCCCCATAGAAAGGCAATCTTGTTGAAAACAAATCTTTTAAAATGTTCTAGAGACATAATGAATGATAGTGAATAAGAGCTGAGGATTGATAACTTAAATGATCTAATGCTTTTAGAATTTTCAGAGGTAATTAAAATTTTAAAAGGATCATTTAGTTTTTGAAACATTAACCAAATTCAACTAAATACTAACAGGATGAAAACAGGTGTTGCTAGTGTGGAAGGAGCCTAGTGTCATCTGTTTCTAGTTCTGTAATTGGAGGGACCCCACTGCCTGGCTGGCTCCTTGGAGGCTCTGTTTGGCTCAGCAGCTCGAGGCCTCCCACCAGGCAAAGGGAAGGAGAACAGGAAGGACTTATGTGCCTAGTCAGCCTGTATAATTTATATAGCCTGTTCTGTGACCCTCTTTTTTTACTAGTGGAGTATCCCTTAAAAGCAGCCAGAGTTGTTTTAGGACCAATGAAAGGAAATGCCTCTTTTTCATGGCTACTTATAAACATATGTAACCTATTAACTAAAGATGTTACCTAAGTCAGAATTTAAACTGGTCCAAAATGGTCAGGCTCTAACTAAAGTAGGAAAAGTATTCTACTTAGATCTAGGTGCTGTTAAAAATAGCACATAGAAAAAAGTACAAAAGAAAAATTAATACAGAAATAACAAGCTTCATATTAATGTATGCCAAATGATATGTTTTCTTCGGGAATTTCATTTTTGTTGTAATTTTCAGTTTGACTTGGCTCTAGATTCTATCCTTCCCCTCACTGTTAACCACTTCTCTTCCCCTCCAGAACCCACCTTCCCCACACAGCTTGAAAATGTTGTGGTTAATGGCTGATAGAGGTAGAGGACTCAAATTAGATATGTTGCTGTAATTTCACAGCCATATACTTGTCCTTTTTTTTCTGTTAAACTTCCTACATCTCGCTCCCATGCCCTCCACTTTCTTTTTCTTTCTGTCTCCCCCAACCTCCAGTCAGAAAGGTTATTCATTTCTAATAAGGGAGAGAATTATCTCACTAAGAATTAATACATTTTTTTTTTTTTTTTTTGGTAGAACTGGACATCTTGCTATTGCCCAGGCTGGTCTTGAACTCCTGGACTCAAGTGATCTTCCTCCCTTGGTCTCCCAAAGTGCTAGGAATACAGAGATGAGCCACCATGTCTACTTTACTTCTAGATTTCTTTCTTTCTTTCTGTTGAGGCAGAGTCTCACTGTGTTGCCCTTGTTAGTATCATGGCGTCACAGCTCACAGCAACCTCAAACTCTTGGGCTTAAGTGATTCTCTTGCCTCAGCCT